AGAGAGAGAGAGAGAGAGAGAGAGAGAGCGAGAGAGAGAGAGAGAGAGCGCTATACACTCGTACGTATCACGATTACGTGTACTGTATAAGATAAACAGTTTACAATTATTTGTAACGGATACTTTTTATTTGTCAAATAAAAGTTAGTACAAAGAGAAAGGCTGTTATTTTTATCAAGTCAACCATCAAATCGTTTAAATTAACTCATCCTGCTGTTGTTGCCTTTGACTTATTGTGATTTAATACCAACACTTGATGAATATTAATAACAATTTTTATAAATAAAAAACTAGAAGAACTATAAGGGTTTTATGTAAATAAAAGTAACTCTTGTTAAATTGCAATAAAGATATAAAATACTTTCCTTCTCGAGCTTGTATAGATATATCTACATCTAAATACATGAAATATGCAAATATCATAATATGTCACCCTTTCAAGAAGAGTGATAGATATACATACTTCAATTACTTAGCAAAAAAATTAGTCTAGTAATTAGAATTACGATAATATAATACATAAAATGCTTTAGACATGTATAATAGATACCTATATTTCGACCTGACTATGATGAATTTGTCGTAATTTATTTAAAAACAATTTTTTTCAATTACTTAAAACTAATTAAATGTAATAAACAATAAACTTTAAATTATAGTATTTCATGATATTGGAATATTAGATCTAAAATTTGCGACTTTCACGAGCAGATGATCAAAATAGAATAGACGTTCAGGTGAACATTACCGAGACCTTAATGTCATTTTATCGAATTTACTTAGGGATAATGATAGAAAATTAAATGACATGCAGCGATCAAGTCGGTAATAAGGAATAGCCACTGGCCAAAGAAATTGTAGTACGTGTCCGGCAATATATGCATTGCAGTCATTCCATAGTTTTCTTGGTAAATGGCAACTTGTTTTTTATATAAGCATTAACGGGAGCTTCAAAAAACATGACACCACGTTGGAAAAGGAAATCCAAAATTGACAGTATAAAGCATGGTGAGGCACTAATATTATTTTAACTTGTTAATATACAAGGTAAGGCAAAATAAAATAATGGAATATCTCGAAAATTAAACACGGAAAAAATGTTACAGACAAAACCTGTGTGATTTGAAAGGGGATAAATAATATCATAATAAAATTATTTAAAAGAAATTGATTTTTTTAAGGTCACCATCACTTTTTTAAATAAAATTATTTTCACAATCAATGAGAAATTGTCTTTAACGGTCGAGCTTGGATCTTAGGTGCTATTATAATTTCGTGTGAATTTATATATTACGTATGTAGTCTTTTGAGCCGCGCGCCGAAAAATTTTTCGGTCTTGAAATGCTACTCTACATTAAATTATCTAGCAATTTAACAAATTTGATGCTTATAGCATCTTGGATCTTAATAATGTTGAATGACACATTAAAACCTATAAATGATATAATATATTATACAAATAATATGATATATAATATTTTTCTCTAATTCTATATATAAAAATATTAAGGTAACATTAACGAAAAGTCAATACCTTTCTAATTAAAAAAGTGGAGATGACCTCTATGTGATATTGAAAAATTGATTTTAAAAAAAAGATTTTATCATTATTTATCCCCTTCTGAATCACATTATTTTTGTCTGAAACATTTTTTCTTACAGCGTTTAATTTCCGAATTATTCTAATGTTTTGTTTTATATGCCATACTGTATATATTTGTGCTTATTAATATCCATCAATATTGATTTAGTAATTATTTATTACTTCGGCATATCAATATTCTACATGTCGTAATAGAATATCGTAAATGTCTGCCATATGTACGGATGAAAAAACACCTAGGATGGTTTAACGCCTACTGTAAGAATACGAATTTGCATGGTTTTCGTTACATAAATATAGACGGATCGTCGATAATCGAGAATGTTCTCTGGTTCACGGTGAGAACCCTATAATGATCTCAAGAGCGCAAGAGGAAGCTCAGCAAAATATTGTTCAGGAAAGGTAATTCATTCTTATATGCGATAGGTTTGTATATCTTCCATCGTGCTCTGCGTCATATTGATGTGGCGTTTATGGACCGATTATTGGAACAATCCCACAGTGACAACTATTTACACATCAAATCCGGTATGGAACATGCCTTTTCCAGCTGTCACCATATGTAATAATAATAAGGTCTACCGTCCATACGCCGACCTAATTGCCGAGAATTTGTAAGATATTAATAACATATCTATTATAATATATTCAGGTACGAAGGATTCGTCAGTTTCCATGAACTCTTATATCAATATAATAACACAAATTAGAAACTTGAAAAAATAAAATTAAAAAATTTCTATTTAAAAAAAGATTTATTTTTAACTCGACAGTCTTTTTTTGGTTTTGCTAATTTTTCTTTCAATTCTTTTCATAAAAACTATATCAAATATAAAGTTTAACAGGACAAATTTTCTATATCTATCTAAAATCTGACGATCCATATGCGAAAGTTAGTTTAATTAATTTTGGATTTATGTTGAATCTCTATATCCGAGATTATAATATGTTCCAATTTTGCGCGATTCAATAGATACAAGTATGGATTCACTACGAATGACAGCGACAATTTTTTTACATCTTTAACGAAATTGATACGTCCCAACAAGATCTCCATGGATAATGCGACCGCGCAGCAGCTATTTGATAAACTCAACATGACGGTCGAAGCGCTCATGGAACAGGTGAAACATGATTGTTCTAATGATTGGAGATACAGATTCATAGGATCTGTTAAAAAAAAAGAGAGAGATTCGGATTAAGAATTAATAATGTCTCTCGCAGTTGATGCAGCCTTGCAGCGCATTGCTGCTGAGATGCCTTTGGATCGGCGAGATTCACGATTGCAACAAAATCTTTAAGACTGTCAAGTCCAAGGAGGGTTTTTGTTGCGCTTTCAATTCACACTATTTAGACGGTGGAGACATGTAATTGTTGCAAGATAATCCTCGAAAATATATATTACTTGTTTGATGCTATAATTATTCTGTACATTATACATATTGTATCTATACATACAAAGCAATATTGCTGCAATGTTTGCAATGTTGCTGAAATATCGCTTTGCTGTATGGATTGCCAAATTGGTGCAAAAGGTTCGTCATATTCGTCAGATATAGTTGCAGATGAAGTTTCAGTATAAGTAATCGCCATTGCTTCATCTAGAAGCTGGGAAGGTTTCTTCTTCAATCTTTATATAACATTGGTTCTTTAATGATTCAAAATATATAAGCAAATGAAAGCTAGGCGCAATTAATTAAGCGCAATATTAGAAAAATGATATCTAATATCTACATAAATAGATAACACTATTATAAAATTAATAATTTTATTCAATTTGATTTTATTTGATATAAAATAAAAAGCACAGAAAAAAGCGTGATTGAAAATTCGACAAACCTTTGGCATTAGTCCGATACAGACTCGTCCGATATTTAGATGTGTCTTTTATGTTTTCGTCATTGTTCCTTATAGGGCCGATGACGTGAAACCTAATATTACCGATTACAACAGCACTTCTGATGATTTACCGGGTGTGCATACAATTTTGGTAATGCTCCATATCCTCGTATTGCTTTAGAAACCCTATAACGAAATCTAGTCGCGAACAGGACTGAGCATGTACATTCGAAATATTTTTTATTTAAAACAGTGTGTAAAACAAATATACTTTGTATAATATTTCAGCATAGCTAAACGTGAAAGTGCGAGTATTACGTATTTAAAATCGGAAGATTGAAAGTTTTTTGTATTTTATAACTTAAATTATAAGATTAGTGGTCAATCTTATTGTTAGTTTACATACAGGAAACACAAAGTACGAAATACAATTGTCTTACAAATAATATTTTACAAAGAAATATATTTCAAATAGCCCTTGCTATGAGTAATTTTGTTAAAATTCTACGGAGGAGAGAAAGAGATATATAATATCTCCTTATATATACATACGCACGCGCACATACACACACATACAGTATATATATGTATATATAGATAATCAGAAGTTTTTTAAGTTAAAGTGAGATATTTTATATTGTATTATATACATATGTATATAATACACAATATACAATATACTTTCTCTCTCATAGAATTTTGATAAGCTCGCTAGTGATCAGACTCTGTTATAGGACTCCTAAATTCGATTACGTTGTGATAACACACGATAAACTCTTCACTTGCAGAACGCGCCCGGAAGTGGCCAAGACATGGGACTCGCGGTCGTCTTAAACGTTGAGCCGGACATGTACAAAGCTACTACGCGCCCTTATGTAGGAGCTTCCGTTATGATACAACACGCAATTGATTTTCCCGACATTGGTGCACAGATTTTGTCCGTAACGCCCGGCCAACTTCTAACAATAACCCTTACAGGGACGTCTATCAGAGGCATGGAAAGTTTGAGAGACATCTCTTCGGAGAAACGTTTGTGTTACTTCGATAACGAGGTAAAATTACGTGCCTTTCGTCTTCGGTCAAGCGTTATTTAGTGCTAACATCTGCAAAACTCTCGCCTTCCGTATTTCACGTACCTAATTATAATAACTATTTACATGCAGGTCCCAGGCAGAGATAGCTATAGCTATCAATCGTGCGTATCAGAGTGCATGGCCAATCACATACATAATTTGTGCGGCTGCCTGCCATTTTACTATCCAGAGATGCGTGAGTGTGCACAAAAAAATACACAAAATTACTTAATAAAATAAATTTCCCTGTATTCTTTAATTTCAATCTCATCAATTCCGAAACGTACGACACTTTAGTTTTTTTTATTTTTATGTTCTCATATCGTATTATTTTCATCTCATATAATATAATTTTTATCCCATATTATATTATTTTTATTTCATATAATATTATTTATTTATATTTTATTTTTATGTTCTTATATTATACATTTAAGGACAATATTAAATTCATTTAGCTCAATATAGACCGTTATTTATTATAATTTGCACTACAAAAAAACGAGCGAAATTTATTAATAAAATTTACAAAAAAGATCTAGAATACTGATTTAAAAGTTAATACCATATAATAGTACAAAAATAATACAATTTACATAAACTACTTAACGTTATGTTCTTTAATGTGCTGATAGATAAGGAAATGAGGACATGTTATTTGCCCGACATAAATTGCCTTTTGAGTGTCCGAAGTAAGAAAACTTTACAAATATTAATTACATATATATTATAATTAGATATATCGTATATTGGAAATGATATAAAACTGCATGTCGTGTTGTTTTTCAAAATTCTATATCAATACCAGATAACGCGGAAGTGAAAAGGTGCAACAAAAAGTGTCTACCTGAGTGCACAGATATGTTATACACTATCCTTCCAGAAAAGATTACCCCACAGGATGTGGGGTTCGATTCTGATCTAATGTGAGTCTACTCGTTTGCTTTAATGAAAAGAGCATTAGCTTCTTCTTCGTCAGATATGTGTTCATTCATATTATTTTCACGAATTTTTAATAGTAATAATAATAGTTCTTTATTGAGCGTGAAGAGATTATATTTTTATACTTTGGTCTCATATTTTTTATTATATTTTTAGGCATGGTTTTGATATAAATAATGTGTCTTTTGTGTACGTATTTTTCGGCGATGTGTCGTATGTCGAGTATCGCAAAGAAAACATCATTAGCTGGGATTCGCTCCTCGGTGGGTTAGATTCCAATATTTCGAATAGCTATAGTGATTAAGAATTTGCCATTGATTTCGTTTAAATTAATTTTATTTAGTTGAATCTAACGAAATTGCTTGAATTATTACAGCATCCTTTGGCGGTATCTTCGGTCTCTGTCTCGGTGGTTCAGTGTTGAGCATAATCGAGTTGGCTTATCTTTTGGCCAGACAGTTCTTTAGAAGACAAACTCGCAAATGGCAGGCACAATTTGCACGTACGAATTTGCCGCCGGCGTCAGAAGTGTCTCTGTCAATTCCCGCTAAAGAGAAAATTCAACTGGGAAAGCCGCAAAATAGTCAGGAATCGAATGAGAAACGTGTCTTCGTCACGTGGTATAAATCAGTCGATCGACGTAAAACAAACCTTAACAACTCGAATCACATGAAACGTGTCAAATTTTAAGTCACAATTTACTTTAATGTTTCGAATTGATTTTGGATAAGTTGTTAAAAAGTTTTGTATGATTGAAATCTTGTGCACAATAGAAGCAACATTAAGAACAAAATAATAAATATATAGAGCAGGTCTATTCAATTTTCTTTTCGAAGCCAAAATGCAAAGCCATCAATGCTAAAAAATAAATGTGGTTTCGGGGGGAAGGACTGTAAAGTGCTGATACACGTCTGAGTAACGTTTATCAACGCTTTGCAGTTTCCCCGAAATCTTATTCATCTTGAGATTTTCTTATATCAATGGCTTTAGCGTTTCTGCTCCGAAGCTAAAATTGGATCGGCCTGAGAAATCAAAGATTAGGAATAGAGAATAAATTGAACCTATATTGAGCTAATTTTGCGTTGTTTAATTTCTAGTTCTAATTTTTTATTTCTATGTAATATTTCTTCTATTGTGTATACAGGACCTAAAAATGGAAAATATATTATACGTTGAAAAAAGTCTAGTAATGATTATGAAGCTTAAGTAGATGATAATTACTAAAGCTTTAACGAAATAATTTCAATTAAATGTTTGATCATATAACTAAAATTAATAAAATGATAATTTTATATTTTAAATATTTTATTTTTCTAATTATCATATATTACTATTACAGTTGACTACTATTACTATGGTTTGGTGATATTTACTAAATATTGCATTAATATGTTAACAAAATACATTTGTAAGTTATTACTTTTTTTCAGTGTATAATATTTACGATTGTTACGATTATTAATTATTACATAGAATAATTATCATATACAGTAACTATTTATGATTATTTATTACTGTTAGAAATAATTGGCTCTTGTGACTTACTTTGAGTAATTATTGCATCTATTGTGATCTGTGGATAAGTAGAATTACTGAAGATCTGTAGATAAGTAGAATTACTAATTATTACTTTTATTTGTCAAATAAGAGTTAGTACTTTCAAGGAGAAATACTGTTTTTTTTTTTTTTTCATATGATCAACCGTTAAATTGGTAAAATTAAACTCCTACACTGTTGCTTTTTACATTAACCTTTATGATTTAATAGCAGCATGATGAATATTAATTCTTTTAAAGGGTCTAATCATTCTGAAATTTTGAAAAAATCGATAATTTTTTTGCATTTAAAAAAATTTGAATCTTTATGAATATTTTAAGCCAAGGCCGAGGTTAAAGTTTCAAAAATTGACCAAGTTATAAGAATTTATAGGGAGGCGGAGATTAAGTTACCGTGTACGTGAGTAACAGATTCTAACCGAGAAACAACTCTACTATCTTTTGTGTTTTTGCATCTCGAGGATCACGTTCTTTTACTTTGGACTCAACAACGTCACAGAATATTCAAAGAAGCTGAAGACAAGTTTCTAGAAGCTGAAAGCGAGGTGTATGGTGATGGAATTGTATAGATTAGAGGTAAGACTACTTTATTATAACTGAAACCATATTTCTCAAGACGGGTGTAAACTTTTCTCCGAAACTATAATAATCCAATTGACTTCAATTTTGACAGAAATATTCTTAAAAAAATTACCTATTATGTAGTGCACGACTTTTTCAATATGTTAATCTATTTACCATATTTATAACAAATATTTTAAGTTCTTATTTTAAGAAATTAAAAAACAATTTTTAAATTGAGCTATTTTCTACATTTCTGAACAAAACTAAAAAAACCCTTATACTCTTCACTGTTACATATATTTATAAGAAAATATTTTGCTTTTTGATTTCAGACTACCCCCGAAAATATTACACCTGTCCGATCCCTCCGCGATTGATGAAATATAAATTTCACATATAAAATACAATTTAATTCTATGAAGTATTATAGTTAATTAAAAAGAAAATCTTAAATTTGTTTTTGACCCTGTCAGAGTTAGACCCCTTAAATAAAAAAATCAGAAAAAGGTATCATGCGCTTCTCGCCCTGATAAAATGAATGGCAAGGTTCACGAAACGTTGGCATTAGCGGTGGATAAAAACACGGCAAACCTTCTGCTATCTTTGAAGATAATACCCGTGAAAGCCTCAAAAGCACATTTTCAGAAAAACTATAAAAGTTCTTGATAAATGAAAGTAACATTAGTTAAATTGCGATAAAGTGTAAAATACTTTTCGTCTCAAACTTGTACAGATATATCTAGATCTAAATGTATGAAATATATAACACTTTTAAAACAGTAACAGCCGTACATGTTTCAATTACTTAACAAAAAAATTAGTCTAGTAATTAGAATTACGATTGTACATAAAATGCTTCAGACCTGTATAGACACTTATATTTTAACCTCACTGTATGATGAATTTGTCGTATTGTCGTACAAAAACAATTCTTTTCAATCACTTATCAGAAAATTAGTCGAATGTAATAAATTTTAAATTATAGAGTTTCATGATACTGCAATATTTGATCTAAAATTTACGACCTTCGCGAGCAGATAATAATCAAAATAGAGTGGACGTTCAGGTGAACATTACTGGGAGACCTTAATGTCATTTCATCGAATTTACTTAGGGATATTGATAGAAAATTAAATGGCATACACAGCAATCGGGTCGGAAATGAAGGGTAGCCGCTGATCAAAGAAATTACAGTACGCGTTAGGCAATATGCCTGGTCATTCAGTAGTTTTCCTTGGCAAGTGGCAGTCATAATACAAGCATTAACGCGATAGCTTCGAAAAACATGAAGCTGAATTGGAATAAGAAATTCAAATTTGACAGTGTGAAGCATGGTAATGCACTAACATCATTTTAATTTATTAATGTACATTAATATACAATATATTGATGCTTATTAATACCTATCAATATCAATTTAGTAATTAATTATATCACTTCGGCAAAAAATCAATATTCTACATGTCGTATAGGATATCGCAAGTGTTTGGCATACGTGCGGGTGAAAAGACATCTAGGCTGGTTTAATATCTACTGTAAGAACACGAATCTGCACGGTTTTCGTTATATAAGTATAGAAGGATCGTCGGTAATCGAGAGTTTCCTCTGGTTTATGGTGAAGACCTTATAATGATCTTAAAAACGCAAGCTCAGTAATATTGCCTAGGAAACGTAATTTACTCTTGTACTCGACAGATCTGTATGTTGTCCATCGTATTGTGCACTATATTGATGTTACGCTTGTGGGCCAATTACTCGAACAATCCCATAGTGACGACTATTTACACGTCAAATCCGATATGGAACGTATCTTTTCCAGCCGTCACTATATGTAATAATAATAAGGTCTACCGCCCACACGCCGATCTTCTTGCCAAGAATTTGTAAGATATCAATAAGATTTCTGTTTTAATACATCCAGTTGGAATGCGAAGGAGATTTTTGTTGTTTGTCATAATCCCTTATATTAATAAATGAAATTGGAAAAACGAAGTTTGCCATGATAAGATATTGCAAATCTCTGACATACAAAATTAGACAATTTAAAGTTTTTAAAAAATTTCTGTTTACCTAACAAAAATTTATTCTAAACTCGACAGTTTTGTTTCGGTTTTGTTAATGTATCCTTTTAGTTTTCTTCAATAACTATTTTTTATAACTTCAAAAATTATTTGATGGAACAAGTTTTTCGTACCTATTTAATGTGACGATCTATATGTACGAAAATTAGTTTGATTAATTCTGAATCGATTGAATTAAATTTCCGTATCCGATGTTACATCTCGATTTTGCAATTCAATAGATGGATGGATGGGTTCACCACGAATGACAGCGATACATTTTTTTCCTCCCTAATAAAATTGATACGACCCGACAAAATTTCGATGGACAATACAACCGCTAGGCAATTCCTCGATAGACTCGATATGACGGTCGAAGCGCTCATGGAGCAGGTGAAAAATGATTGTTCTAATGATTAATTTGTATCTCCAAGGAGATAATACACATTAATCATAGGATCCGTTCGGATGCTGAAAAAAGATTCCAGTTAAAAATTAATAATGTCTCTCGCAGTTGATGCAGCCTTGCAGCGCGTTGCTGTTGAGGTGCGCTTGGATCGGCAGGGTTCACGATTGCAGCAAGATCTTCAAGACTGTCAAGTCCAAGGAGGGTTTCTGTTGTGCTTTCAACTCCCACTACGATCTAAACGTTGGATACAGGTAATTATCCCAAGAAAATTCTCAGAAAGCGCTTTATTAATGCTATATTCTATATATATATACTATATATATACTATACATTTGCAATGTTGCTTGAACATTATTTTATTGTATGAGATACTCAGTTTATGCAAAAGTTTCGACATATTTGTTGGATCTGTAAAGCTAGCACGACATTCTGTCGATATAAAAAAAATTATAGCAGTTCGAGTAGCACTTTTCATAGAGAGAGAGTTCTACAGTTCCTTATAAAAATAAACAATAGTTCCGCATTTGTAATACTAAAAAATTAAAAATGAAAATATGTCGTGCTAACTTCGAGAATCCAGCACGACACTTTCTCCTCTAAAGTACCAAAAAACGATAAATATTATCAATTTTGGCAACAGTTCCCATTAATACTACTCCGAGTTCTACTAAAATATACAGTATGAAAACAAAATTCCAACAATTATTAATAATTATAAAATTTAAATATAAGTAATTAAATATAAGCAAGTAAAATTTTAAATTGATAATATTTGTCGTTTACTTTAGAGGAGAAAGTATCGTGCTAAATTCTCAAAGTTAGCACGACATATTTTCATTTTAAAATTTTTAATATTACAAATGCGGACCTATTGTTTATTTTTATAAGGAACTGTAGAACTCTATGAAAAGTGCTACTGGAACTGTTATAATTTTTTTGATATCGACAGAATGTTGTGCTAACTTCACAAACCCATATTCGTCGAATAAAGTTACAAGTAAAGTTTCGGCATAATCGCCACTTTGCCTCTGCTTCATCTAGAAGAAAGCTCTTTGTTTTAATCTTTAGAAAACTTTGACTTTGACGATTCAGAATGTCAGACGTTAATTAAGCGCAATATTGGAAATAGATAACATAATACATATTTAAATAACTATAATGAAATAAAACACAACCAATAAGAAAATGCTTTTAACGGTCGAGCTGGAATGACGCATAATATTAAAAATCTGTAAATAATTAATTTATTTACAGATTTTCATTCATAGATTTTAACATGTCATTCAACATTATTAAGATCCAAGATGCTATGAGTATATCAAATTGTTAAATTGCTAGATAATTTAACTCATGATATTATTGCGGTAGTTTCAGAGAGTTGCGTTTCAAGGCCGAAAAATTGTTAGGCGCGTGATTTAAAAGACTACACACACATATGTAATATACATATAAATTCACACGGAATTATAATTAGCACCTAAGATCCAGATCGATCGTTAAAGGTATTTTCTTATTGATTGTGTTACTTACGTACGTTACTCATGTACAGTCTTATAGGATTTAATATTTAAATATTGTTTATATTTTATTGTTTATATATTTATTGTTTAATATTTAAATATTGTTTATAATGCTAATTGTTTATAATTCTAATATTGCGCCTAATTAACTTTAATTTGTTTTGTTTTAAGAGTTTGTTAATTGCAATAATTCGGTTGTTTGGTTTTATCTGATAAAAATAGAAGCATAGAAATGTTATTTAAAAAAATCGACAAACCTCTGACCTTATAGTCCGATATAGACTTATTCGATAATTACACGTATATTTTATGCTTTTATCATTATACCGCAGGTCCAAAGATAAGCAATTTAATTTCAACGACACTTCTGATGATTTACCGGGTGTGCGCACAATTTTGGTAATGCTCGATATCCTCTATCGATTTTGACTAGAATTTTGACCCTATAACATAATCCAGCCACGAGCAAAGCTGGGCATATATTTGAAATACTTTTATTCGAAACACAATATTTGTAGTGCAAATGTATTTTATATAATATTTTGTATTTCAGCAAAGCTAAACATGAAAGTATTACGTATTTGTATTTAAATTCGAAAGATTAAACACTTTTTCATTTTGTAATTCAAATAATGTTGAATGTCAATTTTAGCACTTGGAATACAAAATTTAAAATATTTGCATGTATTTTGTTGAAATACAAGATATAATTATTTTACAAATATTGTTTTTCGAATAAAGAATTTTAAATAGCTCAACCCCGGTCATAAAAGACTTTGTCAAAATCCTATGAGAGAAAACGATAGGTATATACATATATTGTATACTATCTCGTTATATATATATTATTTCATTCTAATTTATATTATTTATTCTGTAATCTTAATTGAGATCTCAGAGTGAGATAGTACAAGTTAGAGTGAAATATTATATATGTATACATAAAGAGATTGTACGTATATCTTTCTCTCTCGTAGGACTTTGATAAACTCGTTCGTGTTTAGACTCTGTTATAGGACGTCTAATTTCGATTACATTGGACAGAATGAAATTTTTTTTTGCAGAAAGCACCCGGAAGTGGCCGCGATGTGGGACTCGCGGTCGCCTTAAATGTAGAGCCTGACAAGTACAAAGCTACTTCGCGCCCTTACGTAGGAGCTTCCGTTATGATACATGACCCAATTGATTTTCCCGACATTGGTGTACACATTGCGGCCGTGTCGCCCGGTCACGTCCTAGCGATATCCGTTACCGGGACCTCTATCAGAGGCATGGAAAGTTTGAAGGCCATCCCTCTGGAGAAACGTTTGTGTTACTTCGATAACGAGGTAAAATTATGTGCTTTTCGGCTTCGGTCGAGCATTATTTATCGCGCACGTTAATATCTGCGTAAACTCTCTCGCCTTCCATATTTCATGTAATTGCAATGAATATGCCTATACAGATACCGGGCGACGTTCGCTACAGCCATCAATCGTGCATATCGGAATGCATAGCTAAGCACATACATCATCTGTGCGGCTGCCTGCCATTTTACTATCCAGAGGCGCGTGAGTGTCCATAAAAAGATTAAAATCTATGATCTTCAATTTCACTTTTGTCTATACTTTATAACTTTATATCTGGCAGAAGGAGACACATTATGAAAATGTGATAGTACGATAGATATATAAATAAGTCCTCGTCTGTAATCTGAATCTTTTTTGATATAAGTGAAATTTCACTCTGAAATTTTTTCGAAATAAAGGAGAGCGAAAGTCTGCCTTCTAAAATATCTTTTTATTATGTCTGTAATAGGGATATATTATCCGTGTGAAACTGGCCCCCCAATATTAAAAAATCGATTTTTTTCTTCATGCATTCGTTTGCTCATCGTTTGCTCACTCTTAGTTCAAAATATATACGAAAATTATGTTTTGGGGGGCCAACTACACACTAGCCCCCCAATATTATAAATTCGATTTTTTTCTTTATGCATTCGTTTGCTCATCGTTTGCTTGAAGAAAAAAATCGATTTTTTAATATTGATGGGTAGTAAAGTTGGCCCCCCAAAACATAATTTTCGTATATCTTTTAAACTAAGAGTGAGCAAACGAAAATTTCAATTGAGCATTCGTGAGCAAACGATGAGCAAACGAATGCATGAAGAAAATAACCGATTTTTTAATATTGGGAGGGCCAGCTTCACACAGGTGGATATTTGCTCCAAAAATTAATTCTAAATTTTTCCACATTTCTTAAAAGTCTAAAGGTGACCCTACACTATTAATAATACTGTCAGTATTAACAAATACGAATAATATTACTCATCGTGTGTGGTCAACAGGGATTCGGGTCAAAATGTTTTTTCAGTTTGGTTCCGATTCTAGTTTAATAAGATATCAAATAATATAAATATTCCGGTTTTAGTTTCGGTTTTTTTTTTACCAATAAAGAAAACCGAAACCGTAAAAATTACGGTCTTTTAATGGTTTTTTCGGTTCTTCTTATTCGCTTTATTCTACTTAGTTTAAAAATTTATTTTGTTAAGCAACGAGAAGGGGAGTGGGAGGATATAGAGAGAGAGAAAGAGAGAGAGAGAGAGAGAGAGAGAGAGAGAGAGAGAGAGAGAGCAAGCGTATTTATTCATTCAATATAGAGAACCTAGTAGAAAAGAAACGTGAACTGATCACTCTAAAAACAGAAATTACGTAAACATTATTTTAAGAACATTTCTCTTGTTCTTTTCTTACAACTTACATTTTTAAACCTATAGTGTCAAATTTAATCTAATGTGAGTCACCATGGCTCCTATTCTAGAGAACCTCTAGATTCTCTGTTCTACTCAATTATATCGTTATTTTGTACTAAATCAGTAGTTATATTTGACACTATATATTCAGTGTCAATTTGACACCATTGTTTTAGTATAATGTCAAATTTAACTATTATTTTAGTATAAAATCACAATATATCTAGTAGAAACAGCGATAACGTTAGGTTAAATTTTACATAATAGATTTAGCAGTGTATTCTTATAGATAGAAAGTTTACATATGTATTCTTAACTTTTATGAGTTAAAATAAATTCTTGCAACGTATTGGTAACAAAAATCTAAATAAAAAAAGTATTGGAATCTTAAAAAAAGTTTATATTAAATAGTCAGGTTTCTTACTGAGACAGCTGGCGACGATGATACTGAGACTGCATTCCATTGAACGCTCACAACGTTTGTAGAATCATTTTATCCTTGTTGTTTATCAAATTAAACAGAGACAAAAACAATGCTCGCGAGTATTGCGAGCGTCAAGTAAAACGCAGCCTGGATTAAACATTGATGATCTGGACGAAGAAACGGGCAGAACAGAGATTAAGATCCAAAAAAATCATAAAATTTTTTCGGTTTTTGTTAGGATTCATGTCACAGTATGTCATACTGCAATAAATAATATACGTAAAATTAAAGTGAAATATATTATCAATAATACTGATCATGTAAGGTTATAAAAATATTAATGTGCATACTCTGTCAGTATATCGATTCAATATTACTGATCAGTATTATTGATCGTGAAGGGTCATCTTAGAATAAAGAATAAAGAATGAAACTTGGATTAAACAAAAAGACCTAGAATGCAGATGGAAGGTTGATACGATATAATAATACTACATATTATAATTATCAAAATAATGTTATGGTGTTCAACGTGTTGATAGATAAAGGAATGAGGACATGTTACTTGCCCGACATAAATTGCCTTTTGAACATTCGAAGTAAGAAAACGATTTCAAACATATTAATTATACATTTATTATAATTAGATACATCGTGTGTTTCACAGAGAATTGTACACAGTGTTGTTTTTTCAAATTTAGAATCAATACCAGATTACGCGAATATGGGAGTTTGCAAAATGTGCCTGCCCCAATGCACAGATATGATGTATACTATTGGTCCAGAAGATGTTAAAATGGAAAATGTGGGGTTTGATTCTGATATTACGTGAGTCTATTTGTTGTCTTTGATAAAAAGAACGTTAGCTTCTTTTTCGCGATACGCGATTATTCATATTATCTGCATGAACTTTTAATAATAATAATAACTTCTTATTGATGGGTAAAGAAATTGTATTTTTATATTTAATTTTTATTCACCTTTTATTATATTTGTAGGCATGGTTTCAATATAAACAATGTGTCTTTTGTGTACGTATTTTTCGGCGATGTGTCGTACGTCGAGTATCGCAAGGAAAGCATCATCAGCTGGGATTCACTCCTCGGTGAGTTAGATTTTAATATTTTGATTAGCCGACAACAGAGAATTCTCATATCTTTGATCTCGCTTGAATTAATTTTACTTAGTAGAATCTCTAACGAAATCGAATTGTTACAGCTTCCTTTGGCGGTATCTTCGGTCTGTGTCTCGGTGGTTCGGTAATGAGCGTAATCGAGCTGGCTTATCTCTTGACCAGGCAGCTCTTTAGAAGACAAACTCGCAAAGGGCAGGAACAATCACGGACGAAATTGCCGCCGGCGTCGGAAGTGTTTCTATCGATTCCCGCTAAAGAGAAAGTTCAACTACGAAAGCTACGAAACTGTCAGGAATCAGATGACAAGCGTGTTCTCGTCACATGGTATTCACCGGTCGTTCACCGACGTAAAACAAATCACGACAATATGTATCACATTAAACATATCAAATTTTAAGTCATATCTACTTTAATCGACTGATGTTTGAAAGTTGGTTAAATTTTTTTTTTTTTTTATACTATAGTCTTGCATAATAGAAGAAATTTTAGGAATAGGAAGAAATATCATACATAAAAGATATAAAAATATAAAAATATAATACTAAATATTGCACTAATACGTTAAACAACGTACATTTCTATTTTACGTTTTTTTCGGTGTTTTTTAATGTTTAGAACTATTATTAATTATTGCATAGAATAATTATTTATAGTTATTTATTACTACAAGAAACAATTAGCTTTTATGGTTCACTTTGCGTGATTATTGTTTCTATTGTGTTTTCAATGAAGATCTGTAGATAAATTGGATCACTAATTATTAAAAATGATTTAATATAAGACTTAAAATTAAAATAAATTCAATTAAAAAGGCTACGAGAGTCTAAGCTGGATTTTAAGTTGCTATTTAGTACAAACAATAATGTAAAACGTTTCTACCTTTATCGGATTATTATCATTAGGGTAAAGTCGCCTAATATGAGATTTCTTTAAAGATCAAATTATTCTTAAATTAATGTTACGTTCAACATATGTAAATAACTCCTTAAATTTCAAATATCAAAAACATGTCTTCAAGGCTATAGGAGTACACCGCTGGTTGTTAGGTTGCGCAATTAATTATAAATCTTGTAATATCAAATCTCGTACGCTACGACTTTATTTTTAAGTCATCCTCAGCACAATAATCGTTTACTTATTATTACCATCCTGGCACTCATCAAAGCAAAAATTTCTTTAAAGAATTGTAATTTATTTAATTTGCAACCTTAACTCCTATTTTTATGTCAATTTTATAAAAAAATATATTCAAGATTTATTATCAAAAGTTAGCGATCGATAGTACCTATACTTTGTTGTGTATGAAATTTTTTACCTAAAGTGCCGATTTTGCTCATTGAAAAAAAGAATTCTTAATGTTTTCTTGTGTAAAGTGGTATCTCATAACGGGAAACTAAAGAAAAAATAAAGATGAGCTTTTTATACACGCTTTTATTATATTACATGCAAGTAGGAACGAATTTAAATGTTATGCATAACTATATAATTTTTCGATGTGTGTGTATGTGAGTATGTGTGTATATGTGTGTGTGTGTGTGTGTGTGTGTGTGTGTGTAATCTTAACAATAGAATCGTCATTTTTAACATTTTGTTTGATAATATGATTTGAGACATTGAATTGTTTAGATCTTGTAGTAGCTAGGAATATTCTGAGTATCTCATATTACGACTTTCATGCCTTGCGGTTTCACGATCACCAAATCTAATCTTTACAGTTAAACAATCATTGTACCACGTGTTTTCCTATGAATACGATCTTTCTCTATCACTGCACGAAGATTTTAATACCTAATATTTACTTTAGCGTAATAAAACAAGATTATAGACTAACCTCAATTTGACAACATTTAATTTCATAAATCTTTTTTTTGCAACGACTACACGCTAAGAGTAAAAAGTTCATGAATCAAACACATGCGCTTCTTAGTTTAGCAGAAACCCCGCTATCTCATATTAGGAACCTATCTCATAATAGGCGACTTTACCTTATTAGCGAGTACGATTACAAATTATCTAAACTTTGATATTTTCTCATATATAATTAAACAATAAATCCAGATTCCTTTGTATTTAAAAATAAAATGATTGCTTAACTCTTCAATTATTGGACGTTGATTTTTCCAACGTAAATTTCCATTCATGAATGTAACAAATTTATAAAGGGGAATCCTCTTGTTATTTTGTAATACAATCATTAATTATTTATTGTTATCGCAATGCTATAATACAAATATTTCACATTTCTCTTTGCCATCTGGTTGTTGGTTGAAGTAAACGATCGGTCTTCTTCTATCGTGTCTCCTTTTCACGATATGTTCCGGAACGAACATGCGCTTTAAATGCACGAAAAAATATGGACTCAGCACACAATAAAGTATGAAATTCATCGAGCTCGCTAGCGCGTTGAGAAGAGTCGCCCACATACGGAAGCTGTGGAAATATATAGCAAAATGTATAAATTATCGGCAAAACATAAGAATGCGTGTCACGTTACATGTATTCTAATTTGCGTGGGTTTACATGCACAAAGTTTAATTATTTTTATACTTATTTATGCACTAAAGTTTAATTAATTCTACACTTTGAAGGAAACGTCTATCCTTTATAATCCCCTCGTGATTTTCGTTTAAATTCAAAATATCTTCAAAGAGCAGACTCGAATGTCGCACATTATACTTTTGTTTCTTCACTTTTGATAACGAAAATTATATTTTTGACGGCGTTTCTTTTTTAACAGCGTTACACGAGAAAAACATTCTGCGCACGATGCACGTATTCTTTTGTGAGGTTGCTTTAATAATGGTCGCGTCGCGACGCGTATCTCGTTTCGCCCCTCACCTCTCCATGAAATCCTCGCGAACTTTGAAGGGATCACCGCCGTAAAGCAGAGACACGGCGCTGCGTCGCGACGCCAAATGAGTTGGCAGCTCGCCCACAAGGAACAGAAATACGATGCCGACCAGCATGATCGTCAGCCGGGCTTGATCCTAATAGATGGCAAATCAATGCGATAAAACAAAGCAAAACGAGACGTCTTTGATATATTTTGTAGATATGTATACATATTTTTGGAAAAGTAACTTCACGTAATACTGGACTCTACTTCACGTAATTACTGACTCTGATAGGAAAATGTTAAATCAATAATTAAAACATGTAGTGAGAAGGCTCGTTAAGTTTTTCAAACTAATAATATAGAGAAAAAGGGTATACAAATTCGTTAAAACATTTAATTTTATTCTAATATATTGCGAAGAATATTACGTTATTTTTGGCGTTTCGTCCCGGCTTCCACTACTGGACTCATCAGTAAGGCATTGTAGTGGAAGCCTACCTTAGACGCCTGTGTACTGTGTAAGTTATTAAATCGAGATTCTATATAAAGAGATACGCGTATCTCAGCACTTGCGAGAATTTGCGAACATCGATAGACCTCTGATGGCTGGTCTACGTAGTAATATTCTTCGCAGTATTAAATCAATAATTAATATCAACAATCAGGAAAGAAAGTATGCAAATTATTTATTATCGATAACTAAATCAATATCATCGACGCTGTTCGAATTTATGAAAGCGATCTACGGTGAAAAAGCGACGACAACAAAGTTTTAATAATTGCGCTCCCAAAGACAGTGATGTTATCGTCGGTTTTTGAGGGAAACTTTTCCAATTACGCGAAACAACAATGACTCGCGCGAGACTCTGTTTCCGGATACCACTCGGTTCTCGGATGAGTTTCATGCAAATCGTGTTCCGAGACGCTCTAAAGTGGTGGAGTACGACAACCGCCCCATTCAGCTTCCGGAATAGGATAGAATGAAGTGGCGCAGTGCGAGTTCAAAACTGATTATATAATCCACAGTCGAAAGACTCCTGCCTAACACTCTATATGTCCGAAGGCGTGTTTTTAGATTGAAACTAACAAAACACGGTCTCTACAGCTTTTTTTTAGAACTTGCCACGCAACTTGTACAATAAATATCTCCGTGAATTCTCGCACTAACGTAATTACCCGCAGGCGATTCCCTTCGCGTATGTTTTTGCGCTTCAGCAACATCTCTCTCCGTTTAAGGGCTCTCCTCACGAAACGTATCATAATGAGATTTGCGATGAGCAAATATACAGCTGGTAGTAGGCCAAATATTATGAATTGAAGCCAATTTTGAAGATTGAACCACCTGCAAAAATTATTTCGGTGCTATTTGGTCGGCTCTCAAACCAAATTAAATTTGTATGAGCATAACTGAAATATCATTGTTCTGTAAATACAGGGGATAATAGATAATGCGAGCCTTATGAGGGTGGCCAAAAATATTTTAGGATGAGAACTGGATGGGAATTGGAGATATGCATCAGTACACCTTTTCGTGATCATCGTCATCATCGTTATCGCCGTTTCTTACCGCGAATGAAAAAAGTTGGTCGTTACCAACTCCCCACGCTCGTTGTACCTGTACATGAAGCAGTACGGTATGTTGATCAAAATAGCGAAGAAGGTGGCAGAGATCATCAGTTTGCGCGCTACCTCCTGTCTGCAGAATTTAGGTGATTTGCATCGCGGCATGCTGTGAGAATTGAACCTCGTTATTTCAGCTCTCCAGACATCGCTTTTTTGCTGATAAAATGCATATAACTCAATAATAAGTTAATCAATATAATTAAAAGGTGTATTTGAAATTTACATAAAAATATTATAACATAAATAAAGAATATAAAAATATTATTATATACACTGAAAGAAAAGATTGGCTGTTGCAGCCAATTAGAAATGCTGTGCAATATTTTATCATCTAATTTGCTGCCGCAGTCAATTTTTTCTTTCATAGTGAAAGAATTAAGATCTCGATGACTAGTTTCGACTATATTGGCCTCTTCTTATTGGTGTACCTATTTAATTAACTTATGCATATAATTACAGCTATTAAATTTTTATCTGTGGAACTAACAGAACGATCTATAATTTCTACGGAACATCTTTAAATAAAATTTCACAACAATGTGACTTAAAATTATAAACAGTATAAGTAAAGAAGCATACATGGCCAAACGTTAGTAGCGAAAGTCATACATTTATAATCGCAATCATTACAACATAGAAATATATAAATATATTTCGGCCAAAATTTACCTGCAGACTATTATCAACCTGTCGACGCTCACGCCTAACGCAGCCCAGACTGTGATGTTTGAGGTAATGGAGCCGATCGGAAAGTGAACGAACGCGTCGAATTCCAACCAACCTTTGTAGCAACGAAAAATACCTCTCGCCAGACTGGAGAAAATGAGCAGGACGCAGGTGATCAGATCCGAAGTCGCGAGCACTGTATAAAAATTATATGAAAATTCTTGATGAAATTATTATGACATTGATATAATTAATATCACTTAGGATATTTTTAAGTCATATTGAATTATCCAAAATCCTCGCTTGCGACCGGTACGGCATAATTCATCAAGGGTGATTACGGGGGATTCTCTCTCCGAGCGTATAACAATAACAAATCTGGATGGCAGATGCGGGTAAATTCCACGTTAATTCATGGTTGATTCCGACATTTCCACCGACCTGCTAAATACGTGTATGCCGACCCTTTCAAGTATGTCTTCGCTTTCAAGTGGACCGCGAGGATCAGGGAGTTTCCAATTATTCCGAGTGCGGAAACTACGGGTATTACCACGGTATATCCGATAATGCTCAAGATACTCGGCTCGACCGTCCACAGCCCGTAATTGTACTGGCCAGAGTATTTCAAGGACCTCGTTCTAGAATGAATTGTCAGTCCTGGATATTCGAAATCACACGTACTACGATTTGTAACTGTGTGTAGCTTATAACTTTTACCACGAGTTACTCACCGTTTGCATAGCACAATCATATTCAACGTCTCGGTAATATTAGAATATACGGGTCTCATCGCACCATATGTCTCGTATTGCACTCGACCCACTTTCTTTGCACGGGAACTCTACTCTTCGGCGATCTCTACTGCATTCTTGAGAATATCTTCAGTTCTGCAAGTTGGTGAAAAGTGTGTGGCATTAGGTTCGGATTTTTCGAATCCCACGAGTCACCAGTTGAATCGAAGCTTAACGAGTATTAGAGTACGCGATGAAGGGAATTATGAAAGGAAGTTCAGTTCTGTCAGAAACTTTGGCGAAATTTACCGATTAATATTTCCGTAGGAACCCAAGTACGAAGTACTTCCCCGAGTGCTTTCGTTCTTTTATTCTTCTCGAAAGTCATTATAATCTTTTGAAAGCGAATTTTACAAGTAATTTACACGCTCTCTAAAATGATATAAAATACACGAGTCATTTCACGGAGAAATTAACGATTACAGCACATTAAATTGTCAATTTACGCAAACGAATCGTGCAGCTGCCGAAAGGGGAGGCCCTTTAAACGAATTTTGACGAGCGAGCGCGCGCGCGAGAGAGAGAGAGAGGGACATTCACACCGCAAATGTAATTTCCATCGCAAAGTGTTATCGACGCTCGTTTCCCTGCAAATAGAGGAAAAATGCGAATGAAAGGTCACGTATAATTTAAATGCGTGTGGAAAAACTATTAAATGTTTTGCAAACTACTTTATCTCTGCTATTTAATACTCTACACGGCGTCAATTAAACACAGCATTTTATTTATTTAAAATGGGAAGTAGGTGTTTGTGTGTGTTTGCTTGTATCAACGCAAATCGTTCTCTAAACGCGAGTTATTAGCAAATAGTATATGTCTCGGCTTTATTGAGAGAAATCGGAACTATTCCGGTCTACCTCTAATATAAACTAATTGGCTCGAAACGCTGCTGTCTTGATGTTAGACGATTTCGCTTAATACGCGCCCAACAACGTCGATAATTTCGGAGTATTACGACAAACGAGAAACGCCTTTGAAGTGCAAATCGTTAGCTCCCCTCAAGTGGTTGCGTTAATGTCCGCGATGGAATCCCGTCTGCGAAACTAACCGACAGTAATGAACTTCCCGACGAAACTATTGCGTCGGAGAACGAGTAAACCGATCCGCCTTGATCAAACCAAAATTCAACTTGAGTCGCGCGCGACTTGATGCATCCGCCGAGGATTGCTCAAGGATTCACGGAACAGTTATACTGAAATATGGAAATTGCGCGGCGATACGACTTTTCCCGCATTCTGGTGGGGTTTGCTCCCGATAATACCCCGATAATAGATACGCAAATAGTGTGTACGTGGAACGATACGCATAACCGTATCATAGTCTGCGGCGATCGATAAAGCAGTCACTGATACTTTGTATGTGGAACTAGAGACCTTCTAATACGAGTCTGGTTTAGTTTCAAAATGTGATTGGCAGGGAAAACTTGCAAAAAGCTTCATAAAATAAAATAAATACTATTTATATTGAAATAAAATACTAAACACACAATGGATGCTGTTCAGTCCGTTCTTATTTTAAGACAGTCTTGAGTAATGTGTCTTAAGTATATAACATTTTAAAAGTACTTAAGGTAATCTTAAATATAGGAATCTCGACTGTGAGTACCAATCAATAAAAATTTGGATATCAGAAAACCACTTTTGGTCCGCCATGTTTTAACAATTCCTAAGAAAGAGAGAGAGAGAGAGAGAGAGAAGAAAAAGAAAGAACATAATGAGAAAGAGAAAGAAATAGTACATGTATATATATGTCTTGCTCTCTCGCAGATTTTTGCTAAAAGTACTACCCTGCGTACAAAACTGTAGTTCGTGTTCAGACTCTTATTGCAGGATCTCTACGTGGAACGACTCCCGAAAGAATCTTGAATTGTCCTTTTCTTAAGTTGCAGACCAAGCAAACGAATGCAGACCACGCGGAACAAATACGAACAAACAATTCACTTCGACAATGCAGTCCTGATTGAAGTCAGTTGTTTATTCGTGTTCGTTCGCGCTTACTTGTGTCCGAATCTACTCTAACAATGAGCTGATCTTTTTTATCTTTGTATAATTTAGATGTTATCATCAATAATTACAACGAGACATTTACATCATGCGTTATTGCGAGAAACGTCGAACAGTTCGGTTTAGTGACTGATGTATCCATGGAAACCGTGATAAGCGTTATCGATCGTACATACAGCCGCGACCACTTTCGGTCACACTCTCTCTGTGTAAAATTAAATTAATAATATCAATAATTTTTAACGCGCGCTGTAAGGTTTTGCGATGTTTATAGCGTTGTCATCATATCGAGATGCAACGAACGATCTATTACAGTTGGAATACCATGGGTTTTTAAAAGCTATATACCCTTTGCTGTGTTTATAGCGACATGCATAAACATTATTAATTTTCATTTGCATTACCATTCTTTTGAACGTGTCATTAAACAAATATTGGAAATATCTATAATGAGCTTGTATCTCGGATATGGTTATATGTAAATGTCTCGCCCGCGATGCGAGATCGCAAAATATTTTGTACACGTAATAACAACGAATTCGCTATAGCTCTTTGATGTATAATATTCGCGTTATTGTTGCTTCGTTCCATGAATGCAACTGATATAAATAATCTACATAAATGATTTGTGTTGCAAAGAAATGTGATCGGCTCACTTTGCGATCAGGTTATTCACGAAGCCCAATTACGAATCAATCGGCTTTTGTTCGATGCACAAACAAGATCATTTCTCATACAAATCGCTGATCGTCCGCCCCTCTGGTCGAGACAGACTCTAGCTACACTTCCGTTCTACCAAAACAACGACGCAATATTTTTAGGACACACTCTCATTTATTTATTATTTTTCCATCAAAATTTATGATATACTTAACACAGTAGCGTCGTTTTGTGAAACGAGATCTTTTTGTAAAATAAATGGACGAAGGTGAGTCGTGCGTATGTTTTCTGGTAAAAATGAATAAGAGAATTTCCGGGTGACTCTTGGAGAAGAAAATATGGTACAAAAGAGCTAAAAAGACCAAATTACAGCTAAAATATTGAGAAAATCGCAATATAAGGGATAACTTTCGAATAGACTTGGCAACAGTGTCGTGAACAATGATTCATCATTCTCTAAATTAAATAAAGCACGTGCTGAAGGTGTACAGTACAGTGCATTAATTCGCTGGTTCGTAATAACAATTTTATTTATTAGCTCAATGTAAATTAAATAAGGTCAATAAATCAGTCTACTGTGACTCAGCGAATTAATGCACTGTACCTATACATGATTTTTATAGCAGAAGAGTAATCAGCTTTAGAATTCGCTTTATTAGATCTAAGGAGGAACAAATTGATGCAGGGGAGACCGGGATTAATTCAGCATCGAGGTAAAGTCATCATTCGGCTTTAACAACAATAAATTTCACGAACAATAAATCGTATGAATTAGCCATTAATACTGAAAATGCGTCTTCATGTATCCATATTGTCAACGGAGTTTGTTAAGTTTATACTAGCAACATTGCAATTTCTACAACGACGAACGTGTTTTATACAGTCAGAAGTCATTTTTCTGAAGCGAAGAAAGTTTATTATTATACCTATTTTTTTCGCTCCTATATAATTCATAATCCAGGTAATTCTAAGTGAAATGTGTATGCTGGACACGAATCCGTTGACCATTCTCGCAGTTTGATAGATTTGTTACATATTCTGAGTAATGAAAGTAGAAATGGACGCTTGGGGCAAAGTCGGCGCAGTATAACTTAACTATAGTCCATGCCAATAGTGTCGACTTTGTCCCGGCGGCTTTCGTCTCTTCTTTGTTGCAAATGTGTCATTTTTTTCATCATTATAACAAAATAGTCCGACGCAAAACAGAATGAAAGTAAAGAAATCAGTATTTTTATTCTCTTTTAAAGCGAAATTATGTGTTTTTATTTCAATTTTACCGCGAACATGAAACGTGTCGACTCTATCCCGGGAATTTTGTAATTTCGCATTTGGTGGTTGTGTCATATTTTCTGTATACCTATGAAACGAAGTGACATAGACCAAAATTGCCTTGAATTATTTTGTAGTCAAAGATTCATTCTTTTCAACAGTATTTTTATTTAGCTAAAAGCATTAATTTTCTTATTGAAAATTGTCAAAGAAAACGAAAGTACCGAATTAACCCCGGTCTCCTCTATACACAGTTGATAAAACAATGTTGGTAAAAAAAAGAGTGAAAAAAGTCACTGACTTATTAAACTGCCCACGTATACTATTTATCTTTTTCAAATGCTTACCACGGAAAGACGATATTACATTTGTCGTATACTTTCGACACAATACTCCAGAATTTTCTGTAGATACAAATTCTCGATCCGAAGACATCGTCTTTATATTATATACGTTGAAATATTTCCATGTTCAGTTACGTTTTCGTTTGAAAGTTTTGCATTCCCGTTTGCATGACCTATTTATAATGCAAAAGTTCAATTTGAAACGTACATGTAGCACCTTTATTATTAGCTACACGAGCATTACAAAATAAAATAGACTACATAGCAGAATACAATAAATATTTTTTAAATAAGAAAGTATTTACAAGAAGCTTTGTCGTATTTTTTGACGGAAAATCATAGGCAGATGAGGAATTTAGAGAATTTGTAGATGAAATTGGAAGCTTTTATAGATCGGAATTGTTGGAATTTACGCGGTATCGTAAATTTCAACTCTAAAAATAACAGTGACGATTTAAAATATCTAAAATTTCATTATTTCAAAAGTCAGAACGTTGCACGCAACAATGACTATTTTCAGACTACACGTGTCCGTGCGCTTAATTATACTGATGCATTTAATTAAAACTTTATGATCGAATGTGCGGTCTGAGCAGAGTCGCTTTACCTACTCATGATGGTTTTCTTCGCAGTATTGACTTTTTTTATGTGCAAATATTGCAGCTCTGTACATACGAGAAAATTCCACACCGTCATGAAACAATTTAATGGCCACTCAAGCTT